AAGAGGAGACCTCTAGCTAACATGAACAAGGGCCACAAAGAAGAATAACTATTTTTGCAGTACTTATAGATTTCAAAGCATTTTCTCGTACATTATCTTCATTTGGTCCCATATATATACTGCTATGAGCTAGTGAAAACTAGTTTATTGGTGAGAATCCTAGTTTATTGGTGAGAGACCAGAAACTTAGAGACACTGAATTTACTGGCCCAATGTCATATAGCTACCAGGTGACAGAGGTGGCTTTTTCATTTCAAATGTCCTGCTTTGATTAAGTACAATGACACTTGCTGATGGGCATTCCTTATGAGAAACCGGAAAGCATTCAGTATCTACCAGCTAAAACAATACAAGGCTATATAGACTCTTACTGCTTGTAGTGGGCGATGGTGGCTCAGTGGCAGAATTCTTGCCTTCCATGCTGAAGTCCCACGTTCCATTATGGCAAATGCATGTCATGTGTAGCACCATCCTCTGTCCACACTGGCGTGCAAGTTGCTATGATGTTGGAAGTTATGCCACCAGTATTTCAAATATCAGAGCCCCAATGAGATGGACTGACAAAGTGGCTGTAACAATGGGCTCCAACATAATTGTAAGGATGGGGCGGTACCATTTGATTGCACACAGGTTTGGAATGAGTTGAAACTGACTTAACAGCATGGTAACAACAGACAGAGCAGGAGAAAAGCTCAAAATTAAACTAAAACCAAAAACAAAACAGACCAGGCTTACTAGTCAGATACAGACTAGTGGAACCCCAAGAGTATGGCCCTTCACACGACACTGAGGAATGCATACAATAGAATAACCAACCATTCAAGGTCAATAGGGCAGCATTTATCCGAGGATAAAGTTCAGAAGGGATAAACAGAAGGAAGACTGGAAACAAAAAACACAGGAAGGAAATGGAATAACTGTTCTTACACTGAGGGGATTGCAATCACTGAGAGGAAATGATATGATGTGTTGAATATAAAACTGATTATACATTCTATAAACTTTAACTCAATTCGCAAAAACAAAAAAAAGTTAAAAAAAAGAAAGAAAGAAAACCGTATGGTCCCAGGGTAGCACTAGCCGTTTGCAATCATAACCTAAGAGGTCAGTGGTTCAAATCCATCTAGTGGCACCATGGAAGAAAAGGATGGAAGAAAGTATGGACTGCACAAAAGATTGAGTGCCAGCCTTTAAAAACCGTGTGGACCGCCATCGTTCAATCCACAACTGATCATGGCGATAGCATAGGACCGGACAGAACTTGGTTCTTTTGTATAAGGAGTTGCCATGATTTGGAACATAACAACAACATTATTAGTAATAATGATGATGATAATAATCATTCAAAGTGGTGAGAAGTTAGTAGATGCTAAGCATACTCTCTAGTGCCTTTTCAAGTCTGAATTCACTCACTTAAACATTGAAACCTCAGCGTAACCCAATGAGTTTGATGCTAATGCTGACTCCATTTTCTCAGTTCTTTGGTCTTTTGCCCAAGGTCACGTGCTTGTCTAATCTATGCCTCTCTGACTATACACCAGTGCTCTCACCTGCCATTTACACCTTAGAATCCCACTTAGACCTGATTCCCACTAGATCCAGTGAAGAAAGCGAAATGCATTGAGCAGTGGAGAGAAAACACACAATCTTTGAACAATTATTTTCACAGTAAATCACTATTCTCTCTACATCAAAACAAAGTGCATATGTGGTTGGGTAACTGCAACTTTCAAGAGTGAATAGAAGGTGAAGTAGTTTTGATAAAAATGTGTTCTTATAACTCAGAGTCCCCATGGTTGACCACTGGGCATCTTTGTTGTTTTTACTGTTAAGTGCTGTGGAGTTGGCTGTAACTCATAACGATCTTGTATGGGATTTCTGAGGCTGTAAATCTTTACAGGAACAGAAAGCCTCATCTTTTTCCCACAGAGCAATTGGTAGATTAGAATTGCTGGCCTTGTGGTTAGCAGCCCAACTCATAATCCACTAAGCTACCAGGAATCCTATTTGCCTTGAAAACTCTATGTGGCCATTTTACTCTGTCCTAGGAGCTCTGATAGTGTAGTGGTTATGAATCAAGCTGCTAACCTCAGGGTCAGCAATTCGAAACCAAAGCTGTTCCACAGGAGACAGATGAGACTTTCCACTCCCGTAAAGATTTACAGCCTCAGAAACCCTGTGGAGGGTCACTATGAGTCAGAAACAACTTCAAGGCACATAACAACAACAACAACATGGCACTATGGGTTAATGTGCTGGACTGCAAAGTTGGTTTGAACTGCAAGGTCAGTGGTTCAAACTCACCAGCTATTCCACTCTATGGCACTTAACAACAACAATAAAAGGGTTGCTATAGGGCTCCCGGGGTGGTGCTGTACATTAAGCACTGGGCTGCCAAGGGCAAGGTAAGCAGTTCAAACCCACCGCCACTCCTTGGAAATCTTATACAAGGGTGGTACAAGTAGTAACTGACTGGATGGCTTATGACAACAGCAATGCAAAGATCACTAAGAGTCAGAAAAAGGAACGCCCCCAGCGTCTAGCAGTTCTAAGAGTATGAGGCCTTGTGGTTGGTTAGCAGTCTAGTACTTATCCTACAGCAACATACCAGGACAGCATATTTAATCGGTATGTTATAATTTCCCCCTTGCAGCCTCATGTTCCATTTACCTACAGGAAGGACTAATGTTCAGCATTTCAACACATCTTAATTGCTCTGCTGATGTCTCTGCGCCCGACCTGTAGGTTGCTGTGGAAGGTGGTGATGGTAGACTGGGGAAAACCAAGGCTGTTCTGATTTCTAAGACACTCACTTGTGGCTGAAATGCCAAATAAGAATACATACTGATCCTGTATCTCATATACACACATGCATTCAAAATATATCTCTTAGAACTCTTCATGTTCTAAAAACAAAGCCTAAGGTCTTAGGAACTTGTTGGAAAAGACTTTGTTAATACTCGCTACATTTGACAATCTGAATCTCCTCTACTGAGTCTGTTTGCAATGCTTATAGAGGAGATGATTTGGGGAAATCTCTAGAAAGTGATTGGCCTATTTTAGTGGACTCAGGCTATATGTGAATGAATGTAGCTACTGGGTTTGAACAAACTGTCTGTCTAACCATAACATCTCAAATCAACAGCGTGCTCTAGTTTCCTGGGCACACCATGTAAAGGACCTATATATTTGTATGTTTGTCCTCCAATAACCTTGTCATGAATAGAACAATTTTGAAATTCTATTACTTAGATGGGAAGTTCAAGCTTACCTCCCAGATTTGTTGGGAAGTTCAAATAAGACAGAATGCCCAACTCAGAACCTGAGGCAGAACAAGCAGGGGCTCCACAAATGGGAGCTCTCAGCATTCTCCCATGTCCTGATATTGTTCGAGGTATGACGGTGCCACTTAGAAGCTGAAGGAATAGAATCATATTATCCATGAGGCACTGTAGTGTCTCACCTTAAACAATGGTTTTGGTGGTTCCTCAACAACTTGAAAATGGAACTGCCATGTTGTTGTTAAAGTGCCATTGAATCTGTTCTGACTCATTGAGACACTGCATAGGGTTCCCAAAGAGAAGATGGTGGGTTTGAACCACCAATCTTGAAGATAGCAAACCAGAGTTTATACTACAATCCAATCCAAGAATTCCACTCCTAGGTACGTATCCAAAAGAACTGAAAGTACGTTAAAGTTCACTGCAAAATTATTCATAATAGCCAGGAGGCGGAAACAACCCACATGTTCATCAGTGGATGAATGGATAAATACAATCGGGTATATACATATAGTGAACCAGTCCTCAGTCATAAGGAGACATGAAGCCCGGATACAATATGGATGAACCGTGAAACCATGATGGTGAGTATAAGAAGCTGGTTGTAAGAGAGCACATTCATATGAAATGTCTAGAATAGGAAAACTCATTGAGACAGAAGAAGGGAACACGAAGTGACTGCTTACTGGGGATGAGATTTCATTCTGGGGTGATGAAAAGTTCTGGAACTACACAGAGCTGATGGTTGCACACAGCCTGTTAGTGAACTAAATGCCACAGGATCAGTCCCTTTAAAATGGTTGAAATAGTGAATTTCACCAAAACTAGAGATAAAGAAAAAGAGCCATGTTGGCATAGTGGTTAACCACATGGCTGTTAATGGAAATGTCAGTGGTTCAAATCCACCAGCCACTTTTCAGGAAGCAGCTGAGGCAGTATGATTTTACTAAAATGTACAGGCTTGGAAAGCCTCTGGGGCCAATCTACTGTGTCCTATAGTATCACTGAGATTCAGAATCGACTCGACTACAATGGGGTTTGGTGACTGAGCTAAACGAAAATGATTTCAACTCAGACCTCCTGGAACAGGACTGAGAGGCCTCATGAAGCTGCCATTGCTGCTTCTGTCCTTTCCAAATCAGGAAGTCTAGTCTCGTCGGAAATGCTGAAAACACACACTTCTGCCATTTTCTTTGGCTGTAAGGACTGCAAATATTTGTAATGCAAGATTGTAAGGGCAGCAGCAAGTTTTATGCCAGATGTCTTTTGCCTGAAGGCTCCTGCAAGCTGGGAGATGATGTTGGGTATTGATGCTCAGCTGGTTCTAAAGGGCTGTATGTGGGAAAAACGAATGGAGCAGATATACTTATGCCTCTCAGTGGAGTCGCATAAGGAAGAGTTACACTTCGCCCAAGACAATACTTAGTCCAAGAGAAGGAAAACCAATTTCTATTGTTCATTGATGACCAATTTTTGTGAGTGGAAAATGGGGAAGGGTGAGAGTGGATGAAAGCAATTTTAAAGGGCTCAGACTCTCTGTACTATAGCTTTAATGAAAGCATGAGCCAATTCAATGTATTCCAGAACACTATGCATATTTTTGCTTTTTTGTTCTTTCTAAAGATCAGAGATGAAGCAGGCTCCTAGATGTCAAAACCATCCCAGTTCCTTTCACTCCCTCCCATTAAGGCCCCAAACCAGGCCCTAGGACATCCCTACCTGGTAGAGTTCAGTGGCAGTGCACTGAGTGGTTAGGGTCTTCACAGGTTCAAGGTCATCTTCATCACTGCTCAGCTTCAGGTCGTCTTCTAGCATTCTACAAAAAAAAAAAAAAAAAAGAGTGGCATTCAAGTTAGGAAGCATCTTTTCCAAATCTACCTCAGATCCATTTTGTGAAGAGAATAAAATATTGGAGCTACAATTTGACAGTTATGATTCTGTCAATGTTTCAGAGGGTACCAAGATTCTTTCAGCTGATTAGATAGCTGAGCTCTCATGTTTATATCATGCTCCACATACATCTTCCCTTTCCACATGGGCAGGACTATTTCAGCATCTCAAGAGTCTACATATTTTTACTAGTAAAAGTACAATAGATGTATTGTCCAATCACTATGCAGGTGGAATGTAGCTCGGAGGCTTCCATGAGGGAACAAGGGCAGGAGCTCACCCTTAGCTCTAAAGACTTGTTCCAGAGTGCTGGGGCTCTCTGGAAGACAGAGGCAACAGGCCCCATGAACTAACTAACTTTCAGGGCTCTCTGCTGCTGCTGTTGGTGGTGGTGATGGTACTGTGTCGTTAAGTCAGTTCTGACTCATAGCGACCCTGTATATGATTTCTGAGGCTATAATCTTTAAGGGAGCAAAAAGCCTCATCTTTTTCCCATGGAGCGAATGGTAGATTTGAACTGTTTGCTTTTTGGTTAGCAGCCCAATGCATAACCACTACATTACGAAGGATCCCTGGGCAGCTTGGTGGCCACAAAATATTGGGGCAAGAACTGGCTAGTCATTAACTTTTTGACATATGTCATACAATCTCTTTTTTCCAATAAAATTTGATCAAAGAGACTAAAGTCTATGATACAGATAAGAAATCTTTCACTCCTAAGTCAAAATAACTGAGAAATATGAGTGATGTGAATTTTGGCGATGAACCGGCACTTCCAAAATTGTTTACTCAGAAAATAGAGCCTTTTGTTTCCCCATGCATATTAATTTTAGTACAACTCCCTTCTCTCTCCAAGTTTGACCTCCAGCAGGAAGAGTGACTTATAAACTTAACATTCCTGATACACAGCCTTCAAAGACCAATTGCTTCTATTTTTATGCATCATGCACAATGTTAAACTTTTCTCCTGGCTTCAGCAGGGGCCAACTGACATCTTCCCAGCATGCTCTGTTCTATCTTGCTTCAAGGCTTAGTCTCAAACTTCAGTCCCAAGCTAGAATTCCCTTCCTTCCTTTCCTCTAGAAATTCTACTTTTCTTCCATGGCTTGGTCCCATACCACATCCTCTACAAAAGCATTCTAGAATCCTCACCTCCCCACCCCCAGCACCTTATTTATGGCAGGATCACAGAAGTGACTTTTCTAGGAGTCTCCCTCTTCCAGCACTCCCTAAGTTCCATGGGGCAGTGGTTGCAACATATTTATGTCTGAGTTCTTCAAATCATCCTCCCAGAGATGATATGTGTATCCCCTTCATTTTTCAGATAGGGAAAGAAAGGTTCATGCAGTACTTTTCCCTAAGCTCACACAGCTAGTGAGTATCAGAGCCAATCTTCAAATTGCCACTCTACAATGCCTTTCCCCCATGAAAGCAAGCCTGGAGGGAAGACACAACTTCTGATTTGAGAAATAGGAGGCAACATTATTTTAGAGGGCATATATAAAAATTAAGAGATTCAGGTCAGGGTGGTTCTTCGATATTTCTCCAAAGAAAACAGAGCTCCCCACTTTGATGATCAGCCATAGACCAGATGTGTTCACTGAGGTCTGAAAACCCGAGCCTGAAATGAAGCATGACTGGTGAGAAGGACAGCCGCTGGAGCTGGTTTCAGAAAAACGAAATTTGTTGGATTTATGACTGTCCTTCAAGAGACGAATGGATGTTTAGAAGATCTTCAAGAAGGAAAGAAAAATGCATCTTGGCATTTCTTTTGCAGCTGCAGGCTTAAGGCTCTGCACACATAATTCTTTATAACACATTGTGGTCAGGGAAGACTGTGTCATTCTTGTAAGCTAGAGACCTCAAAGATTTAAAAACTATGTGTGCTTGGTATTAAAATAATTCATCTTCCCTAGGTAGACTTATATTTATAGGTAGGGAATGTCTACGTGTTCATTTATGTCTAAGTGTTTAACATTCAGAGGGCTGGTTCTCTGGCCAGCAGCATGCAATTTGGTCTGCATAGTGACCAAATGAAGAAGTGATTATTAGCGCTAGTTTGCTAATGAGTTTTAGAAAGGAACTTATTCATGGTCACATAGCTAGTAAAAGATGAAGGCAAATTTGGAATACAGACCACTGGCTCCAACTCGAACTTGAAAGCATATACCATTTTTCTAGAGGGTTTAACATATAAACCCATTTCACCCACTGCCATGGAATTCTATTGGGTTCCCAAGGCTGTGCACTTTACAGGAGCAGGTGAGAAATGACATAAAATTTTTTATGAAAATGATAATTTGGGGACATAAGAATTATATTGTATAAACTTACAACTTGCATTTTTCTACTGATAATATGTTTACGTGTGTGTGTATTTAATGTTAGCAATAGCTTAATTGCATAGAAGATTCTTATTAGGCTAATTGACAAAAAAACCTCAGTTTTTGGATGACTTTTTTACATAGAAAGGAAGGTAAATACAAAAAAATATTATTATTAATGTGATAGCTTATAGAAAATGAATCATGCCTTTTCTATTTCCTCTACCTATTTGAATTATTACAAAGTTCAAAAGAGTATAGCCAAAGTTATGCTGATTATATTTTCAGAACCAATTATCTGGACCTGTGTTGCATTAAAGAATTCTTCCATTTGTAAACTCATTTTTAAACAAAGGATAAACATAAAATCACATTATTGTTGTTGTTGAGTGTCATCAAGTCAGTCCCGACTCATAGTGACCCAGTATAGGGTTTCCGAAGAGGGGCTGGTGAGTTTGAACCACCAACCTTGCAGTTCAAACCGACCTTGCGGTTGAGTGCTTATCCTACAGTGCCAAACCAAGATTCCTTATTCCCCACTTAATACGTCATTTATACATAATTGAATGTAATTTCATAAAATAGATACCTATAAATATCAGTAACACTAAATTTGTATCTCTGTTGTTATTGCGTGCTGTTGAGTCAGTTCTGACTCATAGCGACTCAGTATCGGTTTCTGAGAGTGACTGGTGGGTTTCAACTGTCAACCTTGTTAGTTACCAGTTTATCCTACAGCACATTACTATTTTATAATTCATATGTATGGAATATTGGTATATTACTTGGTGTGGCTCTGTAGGATAAACACTGGACTGCTAACCACAAGGGCAGCAGTTCAAACCCACCAGCTGCTCACTGGAAATCTTATACAGGGTTTCTATGTGTTGGACCTGACTCGAAGGCACTTAACCAAAACAACTGTATGAAAAACTCTACTTGTTTAGAATTATTTCTATATGATTTCTTCAAAATGATATTTTCATTGTCATTGGGTTATCTAGACTTTACAATCTGATTCACCCAGTCTTCTTTGTTGTTAAATACAAGCTTTAAATTTCCATTTTTGTATTTGTCAGTAAAAGCAAAAAATTGTATGTTTTTCATGACTAGGAATACTAAAATTGTAATGAATGAAATACTCGGTTTAAAATTTTTTTTTTTCTTTTAATGGATGCAGACTGCCACATCTTTTCCCCAGAAAGTGTCGGGTGGGTCTCAAATGATAACCTTTCAAATAGCAGCTGAATGTTTTAACCACTGCATTACCAAGGATCCTCATAACTTTAAAAAGATGGTGTAATAAAACCAGTAGCAACAACAATAAAAATAACAAAACATATTAAAATGGAATCAAAATAACTGAATTCGACTAATCATAAATGCTGCGATCTCTGGTAGTCAGTGGCTCTCTCTAAGCCTTATCTGTATGCTTCATCTGTTAAATAGGGTAATAATTCAACCCAACAATGGCACAGTACATATTCTTTTCAAGTGCACATGGAACATTCTCCAGAATAGACCATGTTTTAGGCCACAAAACAAATCCACATAAATTTACAAATATCAAAATACTACAAAGCATCTTCTCAGACCACAATGCTATCAAATTAGAAATCAACAATAGGAAGACCAAGGAAATCAAGTCAAATCCATGGAAACGGAATAACACCCTGCTGAAAAGCGACTGGGTAGTAGAAGAAATTAAACATGAATTAGCAAAGTTTCTAGGAATAAATGAGAACGAAAACACAACATACCAAAATGTTTGGGACACAGTGAAAATGGTGCTGAGAGGACAATTTATTGTGATAAATGTACACATCCCAAAAGAAGAAAGAACCAAAATTAACACATTAACACAGCATTTCCAACAATTGGAAACTGACCGACAGAAGGAACCTACAGTCATCAAAAGAAAAGAAATAATCAAGATAAGAGCAGAAATAAATAAGATGGAAAACAGAAAAAAAACTACAGAAAGAAGCAACAGGACAAGAAATTGGTTCTTTGAAAGGATTAATAAAATTGACAAACCTTTGGCAAACCAAACCAAAGAAAAGAGGGAGAAGACACAAATAACTCGCATTAGAAAGCACATGAGTGATGTCACAATGGAACCAAATGAAATCAAAAGGATAATAACAGAATACTATGAAGAGTTATACTCCAACAAATTCGAAAACTTAGAAGAGATGGATGCATTTTTAGAAAAACACGACCTACCAAAACTTACACAAAGTGAAGTAGAAAACTTGAACAGACCTAAAACAAAAGAAGAAATTGTTCAAGTCATCAAAAACTCCCAACTAAAAGAAGTCCAGGCCCAGATGGCTTTACTGGTGAGTTCTTCCAAATATTCAGGGAAGAGCTTTCACTAATTCTATTCAAATTATTCCAGAATATAGAAGATGATGGAAAGCTTCCTAATACTTTTTATGAAGCAAGAATAAGCCTCATCCCAAAACCAGAGAAGGACATCACTAAGAAAGAAAATTATAGACCAATATCCCTCATGAAGATAGATGTAAAAATTCTCAACAAAATCCTAGCCAACAGAATCCAGCACCACATCAAAAAAATAATACATCATGACCAAGTG